CGGGCTCGGGGCCGGCTCGCTCGTCCTAGCTGCGCGCCGGGGGACGGCTCCCGCTCGGGAGCGGCGCGCGGCGGGCTGCAGGCGCCCTCTGGAAGGCAGCAGAAGAAAGCCCCATTCAGTTTGAATTCGCAGAAATTCAATCCGCTCGCGGGCGGCGGGAACAGATGCGAGCTCCACTCCGCAGCCTGTGCACTTTCAAATCCCTCGTAGCCCCTCCTTCGCCGCGCGCAACAGCCGAACTCGCCCCTCGCGGGAGAGGGGAGGGCCCCGGGAGGGGAGCGGCGCCGTGGGCGGCGGAGTCACCTGAGCGCCAGACAGGGGGACCCCGCGCGGCCTCGGAGACGCGCGCTCCCGGGCCGCCCCAGTCGGGCTGCCTCCGGCGGCGCCTCTCGCCCGGATTCCGGGCTTGGGCTTTCTGGACCTTTCGGCGCTGAAATGCACCCCCGGCCGCACCCACCCGGGGCAGGACGAAGGGAGGGCGGAGCGAGGGCTCTCGAACCCGGTGGATGGGGGTTTAGGCGGCGGGTGTCCAGTCCAGGGCCCGGCACACAGTAGGGCCCTGTGGAGCCTGGGTAGATGGGGAGACGCTGCGTGGAAGGAAGGACCGGGAGGTGGCGGGGCGTCTGTCCCGGCTCGCACGCAGCCCCGGTGGCGGTGCTGGAGGAGGAGCCCCGCAACAATAGTAGTGGCGGCAGCACCGTAGGAACCAGGGCGCCCGCTGCCTCCGCTCGTAGGTTCACACCTCCGCTTTCCATTGGAACGCGGCGCGCGATGGCGGGAGGGGGTCGATCCGCGCTCCCTGCTCGGCGGGGCTTTTGTTCTGAGCGCGCCGTGACTGTGCTCATCCCGCAGAAACAAGTGCGGCTGCCCTGACGACTCTGCTCTTCCCCAGGATCCCCAACGTCTTCCCGAACCCAGAATGAGGAATCGCGTGAGGCAGAAGATTTGGGGGGGGGGGCGGTTAGGTAAGGGGAATGCATTTACAAAATACTACCTGTTGAGCAGCCAGATGAAAGGCGCCAGCGTTTAATGCGTACGTAACCCCTGGTACTACATCCGAGTCGAAAGGAGGATTCGGTCCTAACCTAGTTTCTTTCTTTATTGACTCCTCGGTGAACGAGTGTGGCACGATCCCCGTCAGTGCTCTGAGATTGGGGGGTGGGGGGGCGGGGGGGGACACAGCTGTCACTAATCCAGTTGGGGGCTCTCTGAGTCATCTGAAAAGCGACCCAGTGAAGCGCCTCGCTTAAATAGATCAAATGTTAAATATGCTATAGTCTACTACTCACAAGTTAGGAGTCACCAGCCTCGTTATGACGAAAGCTTGTGTTTTCTGTCAGTCTTATTGTCCCCGTTTTCCAATATTACATGTGTGGTTTATTTATTTTGAGAGAGAGAGAGCACAGAGGGAAGGGGCAGAGGGAGAGAGAGAGAGTCTTAAGCAGGCTCCTGGCTGAGGGATGAGCTGACCAGGGGCTCGATTCCACAACCTGAGATCACACCTGAGCCCAAACTAAGAGTGGAACACTTTAAGCCATTGCGCCCCCCCCAAAGCGCCCCCCCCAATGACATGTTTTCCAGATATTTTTCTTGCTGTGCTGAGGGGCTGTGCTGACACCCCACTCCCACAGTTTCTGCAAGGCCAGTCCAATCGCTTTAATGGGTCTGATTGAACAATCAGATCTGAGGACAGTAACACTGGGTAGAGGGAAGGCGGGAGCTGTATGACCACGTTGGTGCCCGCAAAGTAAAATGGTCAACAAATGTCTGGTGAACGAGGAATATGGAACTCACTTTGGGGTCATAACCACGCTGAATCTTCTTTCAGAAAAGATTTTGGAGTTTCCCCAATGTTGTTTATTTAATAGAGTGTGATTTTTTTTTTTAATTTTAGGACATTGGCTCTATATGAAAATTTGGAAGTTCCTTTTTTACGGTATAAGGCAAATTTCTGAGTCGGTTCATCAAAGTCTCTTTATGGCCTAAGGGGAAAAAATAAGTTAGCTTCAGGCACAAAAATGGTGGAAGATGTTTACAATAAAATAGAGATTTTTCTTTCCTTTTAATTATCCTCTCAGGGTAGAGGTCAGAAAAGGGGTGAAGAAGAGAGAAAATCCAGGCCCATTAAATCGTTTTCAAGCCTGATGCCTGGGTTTGATTCAAGTTCACTGTTAATTCCATCAGCTGGGATGGATGCCAAAGAGAAGTCCAAATCCTGTGCTTGCCTGGGCTTAGGAACTGGTGTTTGAACTACACCAGTCCTGTTCTTTGAAATGGTCTTGTTTAAGAAGGAATAACCCCAGAAATTCCTTTATGTAAGACAAATTAGTACCCCAAACAATCTATTGTCCTCATAATAGATAATGCAGAAAACATCTGGTTGAAAAGCAGTAGTCCAGCATTCAAGATTCGCTATGAATTGTCCTAAACTAGATTTCTCATCCTCCTGTGGGTTCTCCCTGGGCACTACATTTCAGTTGTCTTCATCCAGGATCCGGCCTCCTCACCTCACCGCTCACCTCCACTCTTTCTTACTATGGATCATTCATTTCACTTTCTCCTTGTGTCCTGCATTACTTACCATGAGGGTCTTTCTTCTCTGTTAGACTCCCTGAAAACAGGAGCTGTGTCTTATTTTACATTTTATTTGCCCCAGGACACCTAATACAGTGCCCAAGACATGGTCGTCATCCAATAAATATTTGTTGATTAAATGAATGGAAGTAAGCATTCACTGATTCTCCAATGAGTAGAGTTTCATGGCTCCTGACTGCAAGACTCCATCTGTCCTGGGGAAGAACATTTCTAAAAAGTTTCCAAAAACCTTTGCCGTTATATTGTTGGTTGCCTTTTGTGGGGGGGGTCAACAAATCAAACTTTCTGTCGTGCCCGAGATGAGCCCTTGTCTACCTTGGATGAGTTAACCCTTTAAAAAAACATGACCAACTATGGCAGGCTGGAAAGCCACAAAAAGCTTTGTCTGTTGACTTGTCCCAGCCACTTCCTTCCTTCCCATCTTCCTGTCTCATCTCCTCCCTCCAGATGGCTGGCGACTATCTCTGTGCTCCCACAGAACAGCCAGCTCGGAGACCCAGCTGGAAGCAGTCAAAGACAATTAGAAGTAATCAGGCTGGCACGGGCAGGAAATGAAAGTTGGCTGGGGGGTGGGGAGAGGCAGGAAGACGCTGGCTGGTGACTTGGGGAAGGGACAGAGAGCAAAGCGAAGACAGCAGGCATGAATACATGCTGCCAGGAAGACGTTTTGTGAACCCTGCTCTCGTTAATTGTCCCCAGACAAAGCGTCCAATACACAATCGAGGCAGGACTTGCACCCATGTCCCCAGAGTTCACGTCCGCCACTCTTCTTTCACGACACCCCCCTGTTGAATGGCACAGTGCAAGGCTGAGGAAGGAAGGATTCCCCCGAAGGAAAGGCGTGTGTGGAATCCGCCTGGTGTGATGCTGGTGAGCAGGCTGCTGGCAACACCCGGCAATGAAAATGAATCGTGACTCACCACCTCTCTGTGCCTCGGTTTCCTTCATCTCTGAACATCAAGGAAGCACGAAGATTAAATGAGATGATGCACACAAGGCATTCAGCCTGGTGCCTGGCACTTATCAGCAGAGCATGACCTTTTTTTTTAAAAAAGATTTTATTTATTTATTTGAGACAGAGAGAATGAGAGAGAGAGAGCACATGAGAGGGGGGAGGGTCAGAGGGAGAAGCAGACTCCCTGCTGAGCAGGGAGCCTGATGCAGGACTCGATCCCGGGACTCCAGGATCATGACCTGAGCCGAAGGCAGTCGCTTAACCAACTGAGCCACCCAGGCGCCCCGAGCATGACCTTTATCAATACTTCTTTCCATACCCTCATCACAACACTGAGAGAAGTCATTCGAGAATGCCCCAGAATTCCCCCAACCCAGTTGTCCCTGTTGCTGAGGAACTCAAAGCATTTTCTCCAGGTTGGATTTCTTCCCTGAATCCAGAGTCGTGTAGCTTCCACGCCCAAGCCAAAACCATCTCTTAAAAATGGGAATCAGCTCACATCCCTTCCCCACTGCAAACCCTTTAATGGGCCACCACCACAAAAAGATACGCCAAGTGACTCATCCTGGTGGTGCCTCCCGCTTCAGCACCTGGCCTCCTGAGACCAGCTGTACCTCTCTCTTGCTCTTCCTTCAAGCCACTGAGCTCTTTTCCACGTCAGAGCCTTTGCCCTTGCTGCTCCCTGCACCAGCATCACATCGCTTCTAGAACTTGGAATGGTCTGTCCCTCACTTCATTCAGGGCTCTGCTGTCTCCTCAGAGAGCCATCCTCCCACCGCCCCCCACCCTGCTCAGTATTTCCTCATGCCATTCATCAGCAGCTGACAGAAGAGCGCACATTAGCTTATGTGTTTACTGTCTCTCAGTCCCTCTGGAATTTCAGATCCATGAAGCAAGGACTTTTCTGTCTCCCAACCCCCATGCGCACCTGCTCAGCA